GTAGTAGTAAGTAGTAGTAAGTAGTATAAGTAGTAGTAGTAGTAGTAGTAGTAGTAGTAGTAGTAGTAATAGTAGTAGTAGTAGTAGTAGTAGGAGTAGTAGTAGGAGTAGGAGTAGGAGTAGGAGAAGGCATCGTCGTGATGGTGGTGACGATGATGAAAATCATGATGACCATGATCGCGCTGAGGCTGCTACGGACACGCTATTGTCGGGGTACTTGATGATGACTGTAGTGGACAGTTGCAATGCTTGTCGCCTCTAGGGTGACCGAGGGTGAGCAAGCAGAGAGCACCTGGGATTGTGTAAGATCAGAGTCTCGCAATCGTGTGGTATTGATCCGCCAGCATATGACATGAACTTGCGCAAAGACCCTCATTCATTCGTTGAAACCCAAATGTTTGAGAGCCAGCATCAGAGCCACCCTTTGCCCAAAAGTCGAGCAAATGAGAGGTCCATCCATGTCCAGGCACTGAGCCCCCAACCCCAGAAACCCATGGAAGAGCAGTCTTCGGAGCTTCAAAAGATCCTGTAAAATCTCGACATCCGTGCGCCCAACAGAAGTTGGGCAGGTACATGCTTTGTCGCTGCTCCACAGCCTGCTGAGCGGGCCCACCGTCCCCGACCTGCCGCCGAGTGCTGCTTGCAAACTTAGACGGTTCAATGTGCCAGAGCGGCCTCAAGGCTGTCAGGAATCGCAGTGTTCTCATGGTCGGAAACGATCATTGAGCATGGGCCTGAATGTGGTTTCCCAGTACATCGTATTACTTCCCCGCCAGGTGCCAGGCCTAAACCTGAATCGCCAAGCTGTGAGAGTTGACGCCCGAAAAGTTGCCCTGCTTGCAGTGTGCGTGTCCGGCAGTCGGAACCCGACATTCGATGGGGACCAGTCCCAGACGGCGAGCCCCAGAAACTCTTCGGACAGACCACGGGCAGCGCAGCCAGGCGTGTGCTACGGCGGGCTCAAGGTGTCCAAAGTGACTTGGCTTCGCTTCGAAGTGCCACAAAGCGCAACTCCGCACCTCGACGTTCCCTCTGTTTTCTGAACCACTCAATAAATCCCGGCCCGGGAAGGCTCAAGGAAGACCAAAAGTCGAGGGTTCTTGATGCAAGGTATAGGATTCTGGACGCGCCAGCGACACATCAATTGTTAAAGGAAGCTCACCCATGACTCTCTCACATGTTCTGATCTCGGGGTTTTCAGACACACACACACACACTCACATACACCTGTCCACCGGGATCTGGCGCCTTGATGCACCATTGCCCACAAGCACACTCTTTCGAAGCGAAGCCATGGGAATTGGAGATTTTGTCGAGCTGCTGGAAAACAAGTACGGCCTTCATAAGGGGCAGCGTTGCCTTGTCAAAGGCGAAAGCCGAGATGGAAATTGCTGGCTTGCAGAGGGCGGCCAGCAGATAACGAAATCCCATATCGATGAAGCCTGGGTCTGGCGGCGTTGCACACAGTACCAGATTGGTGACGCGGTCTTCCTTCGACCATCTGAGCTTGGATTTACGCAAAACTCTGTTGGCTTCAAGTTCCGTGACGGCAGGACTCTCAGTGTCTTGCTAGACGAGCTTACCACACGGAAGCGTAAAAGGGACGTTGATCCGATTCGAGTGATATTCGCTGATGGCGGTTTCTCGCGCTGAACAATCGTCGTCTTGCAGTCTATCGGCTTATGGAGATTGCAGGACGCTGCGGACGGATCAAATGCATCTTCACCGACGAACCGGAAGGTCTCCGCCACAAGTTCACGACCAAGTGTGATGGCGAATGGGTGGATGTTCGCGGAGCCCCGGGTCGACAAGAGTGGATTGGCAGAGATGCAGACGAGACGTCCTGCTGGGCTTGCAACACGCTACCTGTTGACACGGTGTCACGACGCAGAAAGGTGGGAGCTTTTGTGAATCATCACGAGGAGGGGCTTGGACAAGTGATTGGCCCTGCAGAGAACCAGATGAGGGTGATGTATCTGTAAGTTTCCAGGACAAAGTTGTGGACATGTTTGCCTACCAGCTTTCGCTGCACCTGCGTCCTATGATGACTATTGCCCACAAACTCAACTTTATGGCCCGTGCCAAACGCATGGGCACACGACTCTGCCAGAACTTGTGCTCCTGCGGCTGTGGCGAGCGTTGCGGGGAGCTCGTGTGCGTCTGTGGAGACTGCGGCACCCCATATCACAACGAGGGCCGCTACTGTTGTAACTGTGCCGAAGCATTGGGCTTGGATCTGGGCGGATTCGAGGATGAGGATGGTCATCGTCATGCTGGCCATACGCACGACGGCGCGGTGCGTGGACACAACTGCTCAGACTCTGAGAATGAGTTCTGAATTCTGAAAAGCGGCAAGCGCTGCCTTGGATTGAACCTGAGTGCCTCAGGGAATCGTCAGTCGTTAGTAGTTTTGTGTGCCTCAGTATCCAAAACGTACATGAGGCTGTCCCATTTAGATGCATTTAGCAGTTTTCCCATGCTTTTCCCAGGATTCAGTTGCTGCAGCTCCGGCGCAGACAGTCCATGGCTTCTGAAAACTGAAAAGTGCCGCGGCAGGCTGGCTTGCTGCTTAGGGTTGCCCAGGAGCAGATCACAATATTCGAAACTTCTAAGTCCCAAGCTGAAGGGTTTCGGAAATCTGGCTTTGCCCAATGATTAGCAACTGCCACATGGATGCCGTTCAAAACCCCCGCCTATTGCAAGAAGAGTAGGGTAGGCATGGCGGTTTTGCAAGGGCGGCTAAAAGCGGTTAACACCGTGTGCGCGCAAGCTCTTCCAAGGGCGTGTGCAAGATACATACACACATACATATATATATATAATAATTTAATAATACATGCATACACATTTGTTTATTTATATTTATATACCATATATTATGTAGGTATAGATGTAGATACAGAAAATACATAGTACATAGAACTTTACATGTATATATATCTATATATCTATATATATATATATGTACAACATATGTATAGCTTTGTTTGCGTATGTGTGTATATATATAGCTTTTGATCGGAGCTTCAGTCCCAAAACGTTGACAGGTGCCTCCGGCCGCACGGTTTAGGGTTGCTCGGGATTGAAGCCCTAAACCCTTCCTGGACTTACCGGACCCTAAAGAACCTACCTGAAGAGGTGCTCCCTACACTATATGATTTTCTAGAAAGGTAGGTTATTCAGTGTCCAGGT